ACTTTCAAATTATATTAATTTAAAATTTCTCTTTTGCATTTTTTCTTCAGTTTGGAGTTTATGCTTGTGGGTTTGAGCCATAAACACATCATCCAAAGGGCAAGAATATTCTGTGTACAAACCTCTCTCTGTGATGACTAGCACAACACAATGTGTAGTAAGAGGAATGGTGGAAAACTATATTTGAGACAAAAAGAGAAAGTCTATATTAATAAAACAAAGTGGCACATCCAGACTTGTAGATCAAAACACAATAACTTGATCTATCTTTTCAGATAAGAATATAGTACAAAAGTCAAGTGGTTCTTACAAAGAAAGAGAGAAAAACAAAGATAGAGAGTGTTTATATAAAATGGCAGAAAAGAAAGTATACTCAGTGGTGTCTCAGAAACAAGTTGCCAAAGTTGTTTCTACTTAGAAAACATATAGTAGAGATTTAAAAAATTATACTGATAGATTAGATATGGCAATTTGGTATCGGCAGTTGGACTGGGGAGGGAGAGAAGCGTAGAAAGGACATTATTGGTTAGAATGATCGGCACTGTAAGTTGAATTCACCATATATTTGCTAAATGTTTCAGGTTGAGAATTAAGATGGTTTGAGAGATTGTTACAACCCTATTACTGTGTGATTGAGATCAAGTCCAAACAGCACCAGGTCAACAGTCAAAGGTTCAGTTGTCTGACCCGGTTTTTTTCCAGCATATTCGTAACTGACTCAGTTGTTTTGGAGGAGGGTAGGTAGCAGGGAGGAGGGTGTCAATGGGGGGAAAAGGAAGGACATCGATAATACTTTCAACAATAAAGAGACATTTTTAAAAAAATGGACTGTAGTTAATTTGGAGAAATCAAGCTAAAGAGTCCTGTGTGAATATACCATGTTCATCTAAAACATGTATACTCTGGCCATGCAACAATCATGCTGTGCTTCATGAAACACTGGATGGAGTGAAAGGAAGCTCAGAGGAGGCAAGGGTATGTATGATTTCCCATATCAATATGACCGGGAAAAGAAGCCCTAGAGAGGCTCTTCTGTATTTTAGTGATGGGGTTGATAAAGGTGATGTAATACTCATGATACTTCATTGAAAAGGAAGTAAATGGTACAAAATACTGCTGGAGCCCAAAATATAATTGTGTCCTTTGAGAAGACAAGAAATATTTGATGATGATCATGACCATGTTGATGATCAGTTTTGGAGACAATAAAATGCCTTCATTCCTTAGCACCGATCACCGGTTTTCATCTCTTTGGAAGGGGACAGTGCCCTCTTTATGAAGAGTTGGACAGGTATGTTGTTTCCCACTTTTTTCCCTTCTTATTTTCTCAGCATGCCAAGTGATGTCATTTCTGAAAACAGGGAAGAATGTTAAGATAGATGCTGCTAGAAATGACAATGTCAAACTCTGACAGAGTTATTACTTCAAGCTCAGAATGAATCACTTTAATACAGACACCTTTGGCTTGTTCGTTTAGTGACTATTAGATATTCAATAGTTTCATTGAGACAAACCGACAGTAAACTTTCAAAAGCTAGTGGAAAGAAATAATTACATAAATTGTCCTAAACATAAATACTGGGATAAAGAAATAAGTATAAAATATTGATCGAAAGGAAATAGTCTAACAGGACATTTCCCACATGACTGTTCTGTTTTACTTCCATATGGTATCTGTACAGCAGCCCAGTATATCTACACAGCTGGATGAATGGCCTTCAGAACTAGAATAGCACTGAGCTGTTCGGAGAGATCAGTCCCATAGTTTCTAAAACCTTCGAGTGAGATGTCCTGTTTTCGAATCCACCGTGTTGTCATGGAGAGGTGCGTGAGAGTTTTACAGGGGGTTTTGGTCAGAACTGGAGGCAAGTTTTGCATTCCGAGGATTGGTAAGGGAAATGTGATTGGTAGTAGTTTTCATAAGTATCTCTGTTTTCTCCAAAAGGTGATTTCTATCTCCATTATGGATGATTTAATTTGTTAAAATATTTAAAAATATTTTATCTTAAAATATTCTTCCTACTTCCTAAGCAATGATTAAATAGCCACTGTTACCGTTTGAGGTCACTTATTATCTAATAAAAAACAGTTCTGCAATTTAATATACAAGCCCAGATTGTATTATAAAATTGCAAAAATTAATTTTCTTACATTTTTTGTACCCATAATTACGTCTTATTAAATTGAACTCCTAGCACTGTTTACTAATAGATTTCTCAAAAAACATTTTTATTCTTCATATGTGCATTATTATGAGTTTGTGAGAAAGCCTATGTGATTATCCTTCGAAGTATGGATCAGAAAGATTATTGATAAAGCTTGGGGACAAATTCTTCTGATAGTCTTTTACTGGGAACTACTGTGAGCAATACAATTAGATGTGTCTGTCAAGAAAACTATACAAGTGAAACTACCCTTTCAAACAGTGCTGGCTATTTCTAAAGACATGTTAATATTCTCCAAAAGTCTCCATTCTGTCCCTGAAAGCTACAGTACACCTTGTAAGGGTAAAACAAAAAAGCACTACCTTCTGTTCTTACCACCACATTCAGCTGTGATTAATCCGCCCCATAGTTTTATCTACCTCTCAGTGTATCTCAAGACTCTCAGTGCAACCAACTGGTACGGTAGCACATGGAAGGATGTGTAATTAACTCATTAATGTGTTATGTTTTAAATCTAAATAATCATGGAGATGTCCCAGTGATCTGGCTCTATCAGATTGGTGGCTGTGCATAAAACTGCGATAAAATTATTGTAGGGAACACCAGCAAATTAGTATGTTGGCACTATACTATTTCATTTTCTTATTCAACATCTAAAACATATTTGGGAGGATTGAGAGCAAAAATAGAGATTTGTAAATATCAAATTTATTTTTAAATAGTCGCAATTATGTTTCCAATTAAAATGGTATAACTTTATGTTTTAAATAGGGGAGCCTTTCTAAAAAGCCTTTGGCACCATTATTAGGTTTTCTTTAAGTGAATTTCAAGAGATTACAGCAAAATAGCAAGAACTAGCAAATATGACTGGCATAAATTTCTCTGAAAATATCATGACATTTTTTACAAAAAAAAAATTCATTACTATTGTGAATCAAGATTGACCTTACTTATTCAATGAACGCAATTTTTTCACCTAATACTGAGTTACATTCCACTTCAGATTTCCTATTTCAAAGGACGTCTCAAATTTCTAAGACGTTAAAACCAAGTATTGAGCCATTTTTGTATATGTAATAAAAGTCTTTAAAATTAAAATGGTAATCCTAAAAAAACCAAACGCATGAAAAATATGGTCTGACTGTATAACAAAAGGGAGTTATATAATTCTACTTGAGTGAAATCTTTCATCTTTGATTTACAGGTTAGAGTCCTCTTTAACTAAAACCATATTGTTTCGTATCTTTCATATCATGGCCTTCCCTAAAACCTTGTTTTAATTAAGGTTTCTTTCAGATTTCTGAATAAAAGCATGACAATCTTCACTTATGGATTTAATATATCCTTTGAGTTAGGAAAATATATAAAAAGAAACATCAACTCTTTCAAAAGCATTGTCAGATATTAAATACTGCGAGGTACTCTGTATCAGTGTCTTTATGTGTTAGAGTTATACATTGAAACAGAATTTTGGATGGTAGGAGGATAACCCACTTATACTAATAATTCACTTTTAATCTCAGAAATAAATGTCCATTATTTTTAGCCTCAGACGCCAAGGCAACATGTGTGAAGGTTAAGTTTGTGGTGGTTGCTTTTTCTCACACGAAGGCACAATTTCAAGATCAACTCAGTTTCAGGTGACTTCAAACAGGCAATGGGTTCATGAACGCATTTCCAAGTTCTAGAATAGTCAGTACAATTGTTACGTCCTAGTCACCTCCATGATTTCACAGCTGTAAGAACACATTTGACCCAGCGACTGGGTTAACCTGGCAAGTATACGTAAATAGAGCAAATACTCCAAGCTCCTGAGCCCTGGGGAAGACTGTGGGTAATCTTGAGCTTCTACATAGGAAGAAAGGATGAAAAGTAGGAAGAAAGGAAATGATGGAAGGCAGAAAAAGAAAAGTGAGAGAGGAAGTTCTTGATAGATTTGGAACAAATTAAGACCATCCTTGAAAAGTTTTCAAAGACACTGGAAACCCTCCGCGGAACATATGCTCAGAAGTACTGTCATGGAGCAGGGACCGGGGGAGGGAGAGTTCAGCCTCAGGCGGGTTGCAAATCTTTGCGCGTGAGAACGCAGGGTGTTTGGGAAATAGGGTCATTTTTTTCCTCCCGCAAAAAGTGCCATAAATACTGCACCATCATATACAGCTCTTGCGGTTCGTTTGGCATGTGCACCTTGAGATCTAGCATGGTCTGTCCCTCTGAGAAAGCCCCAGCCCAGCCCCTCCATCTCGAACCCTTAACTAGCAAGAGTCGAACCATGTGTTCGAACAAAGGCCAAAAAAACAGGCAAAACCAAACAAAACAAAAAAATCCCTGCGATCTGTCGGGAATTGCTATCCGTTCGTAGCTGAAAGCAAATCCTGTAAACAATTTGAGACTGGTTGACAAAAAAAAAAAAAATTACCCAATAAAAAACTGATCAGAATGTCAGGAATGAGGATTTCTTAGGCTTTGCCCAAAATTTCACTGGCTGTCACAGCGTTTGTCATGACCAGTGTCTGCTGCTGTACTGGGTGTTCCGAGTTCCCACTCGGGCCTGGGAGCGGGCGCCCAGCACATTAAATGCAGGCTGGAAGCATTTCTTCCCATCGTGGTTTACTGTAACTGTAGAATCACAGCGGTTACATTTAAGGAATCTTTAATGCCCTTTCAAGTCCATCCAAAGAACAAGTGAAGCTGCTGTTCAGAATTTTGTGCCCAGTGTTTATGTTCCATCGAATCTGTGCCACCCAGGCAGCAGACAAGACATGTTTGTGGGTGCTGGGGTGGGGGGATACACAATGATGTCACACACAGGAAATATGGGGGGAGAGGGGGACTTGGCACTTCACAAGGCTGGCTCCTCTTCCATAGGCTCACCAGCGATTCTGTAAAAATAAACAGGCAATCAGAATACGGCATAAGAGTACACAATGACATTGTAGATTTTCATGCATAATCAAAGCTGATTTTTCAGCTCTCTCTAATGTTTATTTGTGTTATTCAGTTATCCATAAATAGAGTTTCTTTCCTAGGAAGTATAAACAAATGTCAAGTGGAAAAACATTTTAGATCCAAGCAATCATTGGAAATGTTCCTGTTTATATTAAAACATGTCAGAATATTTTATAACTCTAGATTCCAAAATGTACATGTTTTGTGTCTAGCTCAGTCCAATAATTTATTGAAGAAATTAACTACGATATTTTATTTTAGGAGCAATTGCAGTGATTTCCTATGGAACCAGTTTGCTAACTAGAGCAAAGGACCCAGCTAGCTTCTGGAGGAAACGCACCAGGGTTCTGGTTTTTGCTTCTGTTCTTTCATAACTGGATTGGCTGCCTGCCGGAGGCATTTCAAATCAAATTCTGAATTTGATTAGCAAATCGCTGTTACAGACCCAACGTTTTTACAAGAAATGCACTATGGTAGTGTGTAAATAGTTTTTATTCGGCATCATCTGCGGGGTGTTCTGCTCGGGTAAAACCAAAACTAATTGCTTGAAAATTTATACTTGAGATTTAACCTTAATTTAGTAACACTCTGAGGGTGTTTTAAGGCAAACTCTTAGAATGATTTTTTAATTTAGCCAAAAAGGACAAATTGTAGCAGAAATCCACATACATGAGGTGGCTGGATTGTCAGGGTACAATACTGGATTTTTAGATGCAGGAAGAATTGCATTTGAGTCTGAGCTCTGCGATTTGCTAATGTTGCAACTTGTTAATATTGTAACTGCACTTCTGTGAGGCTGTGAGTTCAGGTTTAAGACCATGAGCAAAAAGATGTCCTTATAGAATTAGTGCAGGTTAAAAAGAAATAAAGGCGGTAAAATGAACTTGTTTACAACAAACACTATGAGACATTAGTTATTTAATACTTTGGATCTATCTTTTCGTCATCTAACACACGCATTAAATTGTGTCCAATAGCATACAGATAAATAGTTATGACTATGCTACCATAAGGAAACACCATATATACATTGATGATGGTTTTTTCTGGGTGGTGGAATGATATGTAGGTGGTTTTAATTTTCTTTTTCATATTGTTTATCTACTTGCCAGTATTTTATAATGAATTACTTTCATACTAGAAAAAAAATGCTATGTTTGAAAAACAGCTGTTTATGGAAACAAATGAACTATTTAGCCATGTTAGTTTATAGATTTATAAGGAAAAATGCCAAGATTTTAACTTGCATTTTAATAACAAATTTCAAATACCTAAAGATTTTTATCCATGGAATGGTAATAAAAACACTATAATGCATCTTCTAAAGAATAAGAAATATCAGCCCAGCCGTTGCAGCTCAGAGGCTGAGCATCGGCCCATGCACCAAGAGGTCACCAATTCGATTCCTGGTCAGGGCACATGCCCAGGTTGTGGGCCTGATTCCCAGTGGGGGGCGTGCAGAAGGCAGCCAATCGATGTTGTCTCTCATTGATGTTCCTATCTCTCCCTCTCCCTTCCTCTTTCTCTCTCTAATATCAATTAAAAAAAAAAACGAATGGAAAGGGAATCAGTGGGGGAAAAAGGAGAAACATCTGTAACAAAAATAAATTAACTAAAAAAGAGATAGAGAAATATTATGTATTCATTATTTAACATTAATATTACCAAAAAGAAAGTTACAAATGAGCCATGTGAAACACTAAAAATATAAAATAAAATAATAATTTCTAAGGAAGTTATAGCCTGTCTGAGAGTGTACTGGATAGGAAAGTTGTGAGAAAGTGCTTAGAGTTGCTATATAAGATAAAAGCTATTTAAATAATTAAAATTCTATTGAAAATCCTTCAAAACTAAAAGTACCAGCATTCTGAAAAGAAAAATTAAACTAAGGAAACATTTAAGTAACTAAATTAAGTTATATGTAAACATGCAAAATTATTTACATTTGAGAATATAATACAGTTATAGAATCCTCAAACTAAGTATTTTAATGGAGACTGAATTTTCCAATTTTTTTCCCTCCAATTTTATTGAGATATAATTGACATACAACATTGTGGATGTTTAAGGTGTGCAATGTGATGATTTGATACATACACATATTGCAAAATGTTTACCACAATAACTGACCTTTCACTTCACATTATTGCCATTATTGTGTGTTGTTATGGTAAGAACTATGTTGAATTTTCTTTTTTACGGCTGTATAATATTTCATTGCTATATAGATGGCATTCTTTATCCAGTCATCTGTCAATGGACACTAGATTGTTTCCATGTATTGGCTTTTGTGAATAATGTTGCAATAAGCATGAGAGTGCAGATATCTTTTCAAGATCATGATTGTTTCCTTTGGATATATACCCAGAAGTGGGATTGCTGGATCATATGGTACTTCTGCTATTAAGTTCCTGAGGGTCCTCCATACTGCTTTCCACAGTGGCTGTACCAATTTATATTCCGATCTATAGTTCCCCAAGGTTCCCTATTATCCATATCCTCACTAATATTTTTATCTATTGTTTTACTTTATGGTAGCCATTTTAACACATGTAAGAAAAGATCTCATTGTTGCTTTGGTTTGCATTTCCCTGATGATTAGTGATATTGAGCACCTTTTCATGTAGCTTTGACCATTTGTACATGTTCTTTAGAAAAATATTCTAGTCCTTTGCCTATTTTTAAATTGGATTATTATTATTATCATTATTATTAAGTATTAAATTGTATGAGTTTCATGTATATTGTGGATATCAACCCCTTATTAGATACATAATTTGCAAATATTTTCTCTTTTTTCATAGGTTGCCTTTTCATTTTGTTGATTGTGTCTTTTGCTATATACAAGTTTTCTGAAGTAGTCACATTTGTTTATTTTTATTGCTTTTCTGTTTTTGTCATATCTAAAAACCACCTCAAAGACCATTGTCAAGGAGTATTTTTTTTTAAATGAGAGTTTCATAGTTTCAGGTCTTACATTTAAGTTTTTAATTCATTTTGAGCTAATTTTTGTGATGGGTATAAGATAGGAGTCTCATTTCACTCTTTTACATATGAATATACAGTTTTTCCAAAACCATTTATCAAAGAAGTTGTTATTTTCCCAATGAGTATTCTTGGCTCCCTTATCAAATACCAGTGACCACGTATTCATGGGCTTATTTCTGTTCCATTGGTCTATGCGTCTTTTATGCCAGTGCCATATTGTTTTGATTACTTTAACCTTGCAATATAGTTTGAATTTAGGATGTCTTCAGCTGTATTCTGTCTCAAGATTGCTCTGTCTAGTCAGGGACTCCAGTAGTTCCATATGAACTTTAGGATTATTTTTTCCTATTTCTATGAAAAATGCCATTGGAATTTTTATAAGAATTGTACTGAATCGACAGATGACTTTGGGTAGTATGGATGTTTTAACAATATAAAGTCTTCTAATCCATGAACATGGAATATATTTCCATTTATTTATGTATTCTTCAATTTATTTATTCAGAGCCTTCATTGTTTTTGGTGTATAGATCCTATTTTGCATCCTGAAACTTCATTGGATGTTTATAAGTTTTAACAGATTTGGTGGAGTTTTATGATTTTTTAAAAATTAATTAATTTATTTTTGTTACAGATGTTTCTCCTTTCCCCCCCCCTTATCCCCCCCTTCCCCTCCCTCCCTGCCCTGTCCCCAGTTTTGTTGTCCATGTCCATTGTTCATGCATACATGCATTTAAGTTCTGTGGTTTATCTCTCCCCCACCACCCCCTTTTCTGGGGATTGTCAGTCTGTACCCAACTTCCATGTCTCTGGGACTACCCCATTCCTCAGACTGTTATGTTCATTGTATTCCACAAATAAGTGAGATCATATGATACTTTTCTTTCTCTGTTTGATTTATTTCACTTAGGATAATGCTTCCCAGGTCCCTCCATGTCATCTCAAAGGATAAAATATCTTTCTTTCTTACAGCTGCATAATACTTCATTGTATATATGTACCACAGCTTTTTTATCCATTCGTCTACTGATGGACATTTGGGCTGTTTCCAGATCTTAGCTATTGTAAATAGTGCTGCTATGAACATGGGGGTACATATATTCTTTCTGATTAGTGTTTCAGGCTTCTTAGGGTATATTCCTAGAAGTGGGATCACTGGGTCAAATGGCTGTTCAATTTTTAATTTTTTGAGGTAACACCATATTGTTTTCCATAGTGGCTGCATCAGTCTGCATTCCCACCAGCAGTGTACTAGAGTCCCCTTTTCTCCACACCTTTGCTAACACTTGTTTGATGATTTGTTGATGGCGGCCATTCTGACAGGTGTGAGGTGATACCTCATTGTTGTTTTAATTTTTTATATTTAAGATCATGTCATCAGTAAACAGAAACATTCTTGTCTTGTTTTTGATGTTACAGGGAAAGCCTTCAACATTTTGTTGTTGAGTATTTTAGCTGTGGGTCGTAAATAGCTTTTATTATGTTGAGGTACGTTACCTCTGTACCCAATTTGCTGAGAGTTTTTATTATCAAATATATTGCATTTTGTCAATTGCTTTTTCTACATTTATTGAGAGGACCATATGAATTTTTTGATCTTTCATTATATTAATGTGGTGTATCATATTGATTGATTTGCGTATGTTGAGCCATTCTTCACACACCATTTGATCATGGAGTATGATCCTTTTAATGTGCTGTTGAAAGTGGTTTGCTAGTATTTTGTTGAGACATTTTGCATCTAGGTTCATCAGGAATACTGGCCTATATAGTTTTCTTTTTTTAGTATCCTTGTCCGGATTTGGTATCATGATAATACTGGCTGCATAAAATTAGTTGGGAGTGTTCCCTACTCTTCAATTTTTGGGGGGTGGGAGGGGAATGAGTTTGAGAAGGATTGGTGTTAAATTGTCCTTAAATTTTTAGAAGAATTCACCAGTGAAAC